GTGATTAGATTACCATATAGCAGGTGTTTTCCCCCTAGATGACCCCTGACTTCCTTCTGGCATGCCGCCCCCTTGGTGGGTCCTTCAACTTTCCCTCAGGCACTGTTTATCCTCGCCCCCACCCCCACTCCCACCCAGTGATCTCCCATTGCCCCAGAGGAAGGAACAGCTAGAACTGCCTGCCAGTGGACAGTGCTATGCACCCAGGTCCTGGCTTACTCCTCTGCCTCACAGTGGGGAAGACATCAATCACCACCTGTTCCAATGATCTAGAGCAGTGGTCGGCAAACTCATTAGTCAACAGAGCCAAATATCAACAGTAAAACGATTGAAATTTCTTTTGAGAGCCAAATCTTTAAAACTTAAACTATATAGGTAGGTACATTGTTATTAACTTAATTAGGGTACTCCTAAGGCTTAGGAAGAGCCATGCTCAAGGGGCCAAAGAGCCACATGTGGCTCGTGAGCTGCAGTTTGCCCACCACAGATCTAGAGCTTCAACTGCACTGGCCAGGTGAGCCCTCCACCAAGGCATCATAACGTACATTTTTGCCCCCTTCCTTGGCCCATTCACCCAGGCATTCTTCTCCTCAAAGTGATCTATTGTAAGTGTTGAGAAGTTGAGCAGGACAACCTTTTCAAGGGCCCTTCTCCACTACAGTTCTAAGGCTGCCTGGTATTGGGGGAGGAGGGTACAAAGTAGCTTTATTTGCAGGCAACCATTTGATTGACTTCCTAAGATAATGTACTTGGAGGACTAAATAGTGAATGTCCACTCTCCTATCATTAGCCCTATACCTCAACCCCTTAGGCATACAGGTCACAATAGGGTAGCCTTATCACTACCTGGTCCCTTATTAATTCTCAGTACCTCAGATTATTTATGGATAAAGGGGAAGAAAAGTATGAACCAACCTTGTCGTGTTTCTTATTCTCTATGTCCTCATTTAAACTTCAACTGTAACACAGACAAAATCCAAGAAGCCTTGAATCCTTAAATCTGCTGCTCTATAGGGTCTTCCTTAATAAAAACAGTATAATAACATTGGACCTGTCCTGGGGTGGTAGGTCACTTGGTTTGTAGCCAGTTTTCAGGGACCTAGATTCCTTGACTATTTTTATTTTGCCTTTATTAAGTCCTACCCTTTAAAGGGCTAGTTTCTTGTCTATCTTTCTCCACCTTTGTTTTATGCAGGTTCAACTGCAGCTATGGGACATAGCTGACCAGGAGCACTTTTGCAACCTGATTCCTAGATACATTATGATTCAATTTTTGCAGGGGTTGTCTATGACATCACGAGGGGGGGTGGTTATGCTGTTTTATTTGAAAAAGGGACTGAGGTAAGCAATAGGGAGGTTGGTGGGAATAGTCGAGAAGGACAGATACTTTATTCTCTCTAAACCTCTACTAAATGTTTCAACACTGTAAAAACACATTCTCTTGTATACATTAATTCTTTCAAAGAGACAGATAAATGGGTAGATGATGTTCAGGAAGAAAGGTGATAATGTAGTCATCATGTTGGTGGTTAACAAGATTGATCCAAACAAAAGGTAAAGTGTACTACAACTTTTTCTGGAATACCTAGAGATTCATTTCTGTGGGGAGGGTCTACTAAGCACTATTTACTTGGGAGAAGTTACCAGTGTCAGGGATCAGGAAGGTTATGGGTTCAAGGCTTCTATGGTTCCTATTCCTAGAGAGGCATCATTATACCTGAGAAGGATCTATTTCTATCCACTATTCTCATCAAAAAGGGTCTTATCACTACCTGGTCCCTAACATAATTTCTCATTTGTCCAGACAAGTCTCTACAGAAGAGGGAAAGAAAATCCAGAGACTTCAATGTAATGTTTATTGAAACCAGTTAAAATGTGAAAACTAACTATTCTTTATAATTCCCTGACACTCTTGGCTCTAGCCACCCACCTCTGCTTACTCTTTCAGATAAACTTGGCTTGTCCTATCATGGGGTGATGGCAAGGTTCATGTCCCCATTATGCAGTGAAAAGGCCCAGAATCATGTCTTTTTCCTTTTCTCCATCACCATCCTCTCTCCCTTCATCACCGCCTCTCTCACACACACACATGCACATACACACAGAGCTATTCCCGTGCATTACTTCTGACCTTCCTTCCAGAAGTAATACATCTCCATTGAAGGAAGAAGAGTGTCCTTTATTGCCGGGATCCAGCCACAGCGGTCCAGGGGTTCCCAAAGGTGTGGACGGAGTCGGCGAAGAATGTTTTACACAGGGACAGCGTTCAGAACTCTCTAGCTCTCTTTAGTCTCCGTGGATCTTCCTGTGCTTGGCTGAGGCCACAGAGAAAGATCCTGAGGCAAGCTGAGCCTTTATTTTATAGTGAGAGGTAAACAAGGTAGTGGTTTCCATAGTTACACTGTTCTTGTGAGTTTCACTTGTTTTTGTTCTTGTTGCACTTCCCTCAGCCCATTAGCCTCCCAGGTAAGATCTAGGGAGCGCTATAAGGTCAAGCCTAATTATGCTACTAGGATTGTGCCCTCTAAGCTGGGACTTGTTTGTGACTTTGCCAACAGGTCAGTCCCTATATCAGCTCCCCACACTTTATTCCAGCTTTTTTTTTCCCCCCCTGAGGCAGAAAGCTACAAGCAGAGAAGGCAAACTTCCCTTGCTGAGTTGAGGGAATTTCTTTCCCTCTTTTGTTGGTAATTTCTCTCCCTAACATTGAAGAGACAAGGGAATAACTCAGCCCAAAGCAACTCCCTGGTTTGCCTTTAGGTGAAAGGGATCATAAAATCAGAATTCCTCTTCTGTCTCCTAGAAGCTGCTCCTGAAAGTTGAGATTTGACCCCAGGCACCTATTACTGTCCTTGACACACTCCAGTGGTTGAAATCTAACTGAAGCCCTCTGATGCATCAGGCATCAAAAGTCATTGTTCCTGTTGATAGCTTCCAGTGGTTCTCAACCTTCCTAATGCCGTGACCCTTTAATACAGTTCCTCATGTTGTGGTGACCCCCAATTTCATTGTTACAAATTGAACATACTTAAAGCATAGTGATTAATTACAAAACAATATGTAATTATATATGTGTTTTCTGATGGTCTTAGGCGACCCCTGTGAAAGGGTCATTCGACCCTCAAAGGGGTCGCGACCCACAGGTTGAGAACCGCTGGCTTAGGCGATTTACCTAATTTGATGAATTTATTGCATTTGAGCCTCCTAGTACCAGTCCTTTCCTCCACCCTCAGGTTAT